CCTTTCATGGAGTGCAAAAGAATGACATGGTATTTGCATGGTATTAATGCCACTAGACCCGGTGGTGGATGATTCACACCAAGTTCACACCCGCATGCACCATGACAGGCAGCGGGAGTCCCTGGTTCGAATCCAGGCTCGGTCCTAGCTTTTCTCGAAATTGTTCTTTTTCAAAAAGAAGATCGTCGTTCCTGCGTCAATTGCTCACACAATCAATTCCCAGTTCAAATTTTCAAGGTGCAGGTGATAATTTTGCAACGCGCTCGTGATAATGCTAGGTGATCGGTGCATTACTTGTATAACTGCGGCCCTGCGGGTATCTACGCTCTGAGCAACAGTTGGCCGACCGCACTAATCGAACCGTCGTCGTTATACAACGTCGAGCCCGTACCAACGTAGTTGGCGCCTTGGGGATCATGGGTTTTGAACAGACTCGGCGACCTTGCGACGAAGGGAAAATACATCTCAACGAAGGACGCCGAATCGAGGAAGGCGAACGCTTGCTTGAAGAAGTTAATCCTGAATGAAAGGATTCAGCGTCAGCTGGTGATCTTAATTCAGAGGTGACGATGGAATGCGTACTGGTCAGTCTGACCACCGCGCGGATTCTGGAGCGCAAATTCGGTGATCACAATTTTGTTGTGCGGGAAGCGGGCGTGGGCGTCGTTGATGTGCGCCTTGAACTGTTCGAAGTTCTGGCCGTACCAGTGCTACAGATAGTATCAAGGAACGGCACAGTTGAACGTGGCTGTGATCGCTTACAAGGTTAAGTCGAAGTAGCAGCCGCCACCGGATGCATTGACCATCTGCTGCACCCAATTCAGGCCTTTTCCACCCTCGTTTGACGAGGTTACAGCGGGGAGCGCCTTCTTGATCGCCTGGTTACAAATAGATGAAGGATTTGGATGGCAGCTTCAGGCGAAATCAACGAACCAAGTGGTTGATATGCTGCTTATACCAATCCGCTGCTTGACCCGGGCTCCGTTCAGATCTGGCTCATTGAGCGTAAAGATGGTTGAAAATTTGAGTTGCTGCTGACGCGCCGCCAGTTGGGAGATGGGAGACGAGTCACAGTCCAGGCAGCGCTGCATTCCGATGAAGTGAAGGCCGTGGTTTGCATTGGAGGACGGAGGGGCGTAGGTCTCGTAATCGTAACTGCATGTGGGGTAAAAACTTAAGTACAAACGAATTTCAAACACGCACATCAGGTTAACAGTTCCCTGGCGGTCATTAAGCCGTCCGGGATCGAGTTTGCCGTTGTAGTAGGGCCTGGCCAGCCCGCGCTTCCCAGGTCCGTGCTGCACCGAAGGCGTGTCAGCGAAGAACTGTTCGAGTGCGAGCGGGACAAAGGCGGCGAGAGGAATCCTCATGATATCGTGGATCCAGTTTTTGGGGTGAGGGAAGTCACCTTGGGTTTGCTAGGCTCTTGCATTTATGCGCTGACTCTTTCCGTTCTTATACTCGCTTGTCGCCTCCCCTCATCTCCGTTGCGAACGGACAAGGTTTGATTTTAGAAACAAGTGATGGACGTACACAGGTTCGGTCAGAAGAGTCCGAACTGTCACAGCCAAATTTATGCCCGGGGATCGCGGTTAGGCGAAAGGGTGAAATGGTGAAGTTCGATTAAGCAGAGGTTGTTGGTAAATATTATTGTGTTCTGTGCATCACGAACATGGGCTCCAAGATATTATGCCGGTGGACCTGTACCTGTCTGCGCTTTACCACCACCTCCCCTGTGGTGGAATTTCCACGTCAGTAGCTCCGCTTCCGTAAGGAGGACCCGGGTAGTCGACCGTCATGGATTTTGAAGGCTAGATGGCATATCAGCGGGATCCGCCATCACTGTAAGTTAAGCTGGCCTGTTGGGTGCAGATCAGCTAAGTATCAAACGTTGGACTCTGACATGTTAGGACGTTCTGGTCCCGGCCATTGCGTGAGCTCCAAAAATTCGAATCGCGGCACGGCAGTGTGGCTGAGGAGATTTCCTCCTTTGGTTAAACTCCCTGCTTCTCCGTACAGCTTAATTCACCATGGTCAGATGTACACCTCTCCAATGCCGCACTCTATGCTCCGTGCCTCATGCATAGCGGCAAATGGAGAGACCAAAATGAACACGATGATTATGATCCAAATCATTCTCTTCCCGTTCGCTGCCGACTTCCGTCCTTCTTTCTACACTCGGTTTCTCGTAAACTCTTTCCCAAGCGAACCCCGCACCTAAACTGTTCAAGTACAAGGCAAGCTCGGTGAGTTTCAAGTCCCCTTGAAAGTTGTAACCCTTCCAGTTGCCTCGACATCCAGCAAAAGCTCGGGATTGCGGTGGTTACAGAGGACAGGGGTGGGGATGAAGAAGCAGAATTTATTTTCACGATGGGTAGAATGAGCTAGGCCATGAATTTGAAAACATCCAGAAGTGTTCGTTTTTCGGCAATCACCCGGCAATCATATGACCAAGCGGCATGCCGGATCTTTTCAGCCTCTTTCCTCTCACCATCATGAGTCGTTTGTACAGCCGCCTGAAACTTTCAACCTTGGTCAGCAATGGTTCTCACCCCGATTTCGGTCTCATCGGAGGCTCGGCTGTCAGTTGTAGGCTGGCCATATGGTTTCTTTGTGTCTCATGCTGGCGCCCGCCTGAAATTCATTACATCGGTAATCTGCTACGCCCGCCCATCCCGTGTCGCGCGGAATTCGAACAAAGCTCTGTTCCAATTTTATTCGGCTCTCTCAGCGGCAATACTTCTTTCCTCGGAGATCGTGCGGTCGATAACTGGGCTGGGTACCTTCTCTTCTGGCTGCTCGCGGCAGTTCTCAGCCGTCTCCTCGAACTTCAATTAATCAACCATTATTCTTAACTTTGCCGTCTGGTTCAATCTTAGTCTTGTCTCTCGTCGCTCGGTCTCTGGTCGCTGGATGACGAAAATCCAGTACGGGCCTCCGTCGTTCGCGATATCAATATTATTCTTCGTCCGTTCTCATCGCCGTCCAGCTGAAGCGCAGTGCTGGATCATCTTTCGCGCCATATTCACTCAACTTACGGCACCTCGTTTCACCACTGATTCATTACTCGTTTACATGACATGCATCTCAGCATCTCGGCATCGCCGTGTTGCACGCACCAGCAGCGCCAACGGACATATAAAGAGGACCTTCGCTGCTGTTATACCATTCACACAACACGCCACAAGGATTCACAACATCTTTGCTTCTCTCCCTCCGCACACTGCCCACCATGCATTCCATCCACATCCACAATAAGTCAAACCACCCGCAGGAGTTCGATCATAGTATCTCTAATATGTAAGCTAACACCTAAAACCTTCAAGGGCATTATAGTTACAAACTGTCCATTTACAATACTTAAAGGATGTTTAAATTCTTCAAAATTTTTTAAGATACTTAAATCAGCAGCTGTTAAATGAGTTGTTAAGTAAATATTTTTTTGTTTTAACATATTAATTTGTTCTGGAGTGAAATCGTCGTAAGTAGTTTTCTTTATTTTAGTTATACTGTTCACGGTTACAACAACAACAAGAACATCGTCGTTCAGGCGGGGCAGACCGCCACCATTGCCGCGCCTGACAGGACATCCGGGGCTATCATCGCCCTGCACGACGGGCACGAAGGCGAGCAGGCCGAAATAACGAAGGACGGGTGGCAGGGGAACGATACGTTCGATATATCGGTCATCGTCGGAGCAGGTCAGCATAATTATTTCTTTCGAGCATTTGGGAGCCTGAATCACAATGTCCGGATATGTAGGGGGCAATATGACCATCCAGCAAGTCGGCGACCCCAGCACGCGCAAAGGCGACCCAACCTTCATGCAGGGCTTGAGGGCGGCGTGGGCTAATGCTGACGCCGGACTCAAGAATAAGCTCAAGGGTGTGGTGCACCTCGACGCGCACGGTGTACCTCAGCGCATTGACGCGCCGAAGAGCAACCAGGACCTCGAGAAGTGGGTGCGCACCTTCGCCGAGGGTCAGGTCTACATCGGCGTCGGCGCGTGGGGCAACAGCGCTGGCGACGCGGGCGACAATAGGCAGAGCAGCGCGGCGCACGGTAGCAAGGACCTGATCCTGACGTACAACGACGGAGATGCTTCCCCCGACAACGCCGCGCCGCATCTCGCGCACCGAGTTCAGGGCGTCGCGGTCAGGATGGCGGTCAAGCCCCCCGACGCCACGGTGCACGCTGACGGCCCAGGCATCCTCTTGACTAACAAGGGTCACAAGGAGACGAAGTTTTTCTTCTACCCCAACTATTGGAATGGAAACGGCACCGCGGGCGCGAACTTCGACAAGCCGTCGACGTCGGTCTCGCTCAAGCCGGGCGAGACGCACTTTGTGTCGCTTCCTGCCAGCTTCAAGGGCCGCGTGCAGAGGGGGACGCTGCAGCCCACGACGTGGGCCGAGTTCCAGCTCAGCGCGGACAACGACCACGCCGCGCATGGGGACATCAGTCTCGAGCAGGGGTGCGACGGGGCTGCGACAATCGCGTCGACTGACGGGACCAACGTCGAGGGCGGGTTCACGACAGCCAATATCGTCGAGAAGGCTCCCGCCGCAGCCAAGCAGAAGCGTCAGGACGGTGTCGAGTGTATTGCGTCCACCATGGGCAACTGGATGGCTGGACCTAACCACACCGCTATCGACTACCTTAACAAGGCGGTCGGTCAGCACAAGGCCTACATCACGGGCGGGACCGGCACGCCCGACATCGCGAGCCACAATCAGCGGCTGGCGGTTGGGTTCTACTAGGCTGTCCCTCGACTCGGATGAGCCAACGCAAACAAGGAGCTTGTAAATGTAATTTTTCGTATTTCTCAATTCCATTTGATTCAACTTTTTTGTTTGTGTATCGGCATCGCCGCTCAGTGGTCGGATCTGTATTCTCCTGCATTTTCCTTTGGACATTCTCATTCGCCTCACCTCAAAAAAAGCAGAGCTAAAATAACTTGCGATATACAGGAATGCGGGTTCGGAAACGAGGTAAGACAAGGCCTGGTGGTGAAATATATCATACCCGTGTTGCTTGGATCGGATTTGCAACCAGAATTCCGCGGGTGTTCCTGGTTCGAATCCAGGCTGGGTCATGCGTTGTGAGTGGGCATCTTTTTTTTCCCTCGTCTTCCCTCGACTGTTCGGTGTCACAGAAAAGCTGCCTCTCCCACACTCAATGACGCCGTAAGATCAATCAAAGGATCTGGGCGGGCCTTCGGTAAGATGAAGACTAAGAGTGAAGAAAGAACAGATCGTAAAGTTGATGGAATAAAAACACTAGGGTACAAGGGTGGAACTAGAGCTACTTATATACCTGTACACTATTTTTGAAATTAGTAGAATCGGGTTAGGCTTGAAACTATAGAGACAATAAGAAGCAGAAGCTGCGGATGATCTGAAACATTGTCTAGAACAAAAATAACAATAAAGAAGAGGCAACGATATGAATCGCCAAGGATATGAGTTGGAAATGCCGGAAACAATAAGTAGCACACAGCCTCGTTCACCTGCTGATGTAGAATGGAGAAAACAATAAGGACTCGATCACATGGCCATTCAGGCCACATCAGGCACAAGTCCCGGAGTTGTGGGAAGTGGGTGATCTAGGATCATTAGGATCACAGGCTTTGATGGCATCGGCGATGGAATCAAATGGCCAGACTGTGACATTACCCCCTCCTTAAGACCAAGGCCTTGAAAGTTCCGGTTTCTGGATCGAAGAGTCGGCGGGCAGGATAAGGAAGTCTTTGCTGGGTAGGCTTAAACCGTTGGATAAGATAGTCCCAGTGGCCGGCTTTGAAAATGGGCATAGCACGGGTACAAATGTTGTGTTTCTTGTTGAACTCATTCAACAATTTCTTCGCATGGGTGATATGCTTGGCCGGTTCCCAGGTATCTCCGCTATGCGGAAAGCCTTTCCATTTGATGAGATATTGATATCCTTTTCCTCTCTTTCGAGATTTCAGGATCTCCTCGACTTCCCATTCCTCGTGTCCAGAAATGATGGCAGGTGGTGGGCGTGGATCCCGACGATGAGCTGGGGGCTCAATGTACCGTGAAAGAAGACCTTCATTGTAGACTGCATGTCTGCGACCATTGCCAGGCACCTTCAATTTATATGCAGATGCTCCGACCTTCTTGATGATCTCATACGGTCCCAGACGGAGATCAGAGAACTTCTCAGTCGGTCGATCCTGTGGAATGTTGCTTGCTTCCACCCAGACCTTGTCCCCGGGCTGGAATTCAGGTGCGGGTTGTCGCTTGGCATCATAGTACTTCTTCATCCGTTTCTGTGCCTTTTCTAGAGCAGCAGTGGCTTCATCGCGAACCTTCTTCATCCGATCAGCAAACTCCTTTGCTGACTCAGATTTGGACTCCATACGGCCTTCGATTCCTTTCCAAGGATGGTAACCATGGTCTGCAAAGAAGGGTGTCGTCTTTGTCGAAGAGCTGATCTTGTCATTATGGGCGAACTCTGCTAAGGCGAGCCATTCTGCCCAGTCGGACTGGTGGAAGTTGACATAGATGCGAAGATGGTGCTCAATCTCCTGGTTCATCCTCTCTGTCTGTCCATCGGTGATCGGATGATATGCAGTACTGGGGTTCATCTCGATTCCAAGAAGACGGTTGAGCTCCTTCATGAATGCAGAGACGTAACGAGTATCCCGGTCACTGATGATCTTCCTTGGAATGCCATGATATCGTATTATTCGGTCCCGTGTCAGCCTGGCAACACCTTCACTTGTCATCTCCATGTTTGTTGGCTCGGCATGAATAGTCTTGGTGAAGGTATCAACCCAAACTTGGATTGCATCAAAGCCATTGCTGGGTGGAAGTGGCCCAATTAAATCCATGGAGATTATTTCCCAGGGAAGGCTTGCAATCTTGTGTGTATTCAACAAGCCGCTGGTCTTTCTCCGCGTGCGGGTTCGCTGGCAAACTTCGCATTTCCAGATATAGTCCTTGACCTGATTTCCCATTCTTGGCCACCAGAAGTTCCGTTCAATAAGCTCCTGTGTCCGATTCTCCTCTGGATGCCCGGATAAAGTGGCATCGTGATGCAGAGCAATGATACGGTCTCGCAAATCTCCATCTCTTGGCACGTAAACCAGGTTCCGATAAAGGATAAGGTCTCCTTCTTTTCTCCAATCTGGCAGTGACTTTTCGAGCGCCATCTTGACACTGGTATCGAGTTGTTTTCCAGACTTGACTTCTGCGATTAATTTTTCATCAAGTCCTTCCACCACAAGGTCTGTGGCTCGGAAGAATTCTGGTTTGAGGAGAACAACATCCCTGTTGTCATCCTTGCCTTGGTCATGGTCGGCTCGACGAGAAAGAAGGTCTGCCTTGCGATTCAAGGCACCTGGCCGATGATGGAGAGTGAAGTCGAACTGGGACAGACTTCTCCGATGGGCTTGCCAAACTGGCTTGCGCCGCTTAGCGGAGTTTGAATTTGGCTTGGCGGGCGTGGGCGTGGGCGTGAATGGCTTGGCTTGGCTTGTGCTCGCTTACACCAAGCCTCGCCACTGTAGCCAGTTCATCGATAACACCTGTTTGAAGCCTCGCCATCGTCTACAATCTCCCAAGGGACTCCCAGAACCTTCGTGCCTTCCCCTCTGGCAACCGGACAGGCCAAAAGACAGGCTTGTCAATGTTTGCTCCCATGGGTTGAATACGACCCTCGACGAGTGCGCTCCTGGCATCTGTGAGGCCCAGGAAAGACATGTTGCATCTTAGTGCTTAAACACAACTGGTCTACCCAATTGCACATCTATTTTGAAACAGGCAATTCTTCAAGTAAGTCACGATTCAACTTATGATTCTCTGGGCTTCTCGCTCTCCCGTTTTTTGTTCAGGATATATCGTACATCTGAGTTACTTCACACATTAGGGGGAGTCAGAGTTAACGATTCAGCGTCGATTCTGGAATCGATTCTGGAAAGATTCTGGAACTAGAATCGAGCCAGAATCGAAACGGAAGTGCAGAATCGGTCAGAATCGATTCAGTTCCTCCTCGGGAGGAGGAACTGCGTCGATTCTCGGTCGATTCTTGAATCGATTCCGACCCAGTCACGAATCGACGCAGAATCGAAATAGAATCGACCTCCAGAATCGACAGAGAATCGACAACTCTGACTCCCCCTATTGTAACTAGTAAACTTTACTCCCAGATGGACACCACGACTCCAAAGAATTAACACAATGAACATTACTCGCTATACCCCCACACAATCTAGGATACATTTCCAGAACGAAGCTTACGTCCGGTGTTCACGGGTGGCGTTTTGGCCCGGCGTTTACCACCGGCAGCCTTCTTCTTGGGCTGCCTTTTCTTCACGCCCTCGGCCTCCATGTCGTTGTGAGTCTTTTCCTTCCTCTGCCGTTTAGGTGGCTTCTCGTCCTCGGACAACGACGAGCCAGCCCGCTTTAGTTCGCCTGGAAGAACAACGGCGATTGGCGCGCGGGGAGGACGAATGGAGGGGAGCATGCGCCGGAAGGAGGGTGGGCGAAAGTTTCTGTCGTAAATCGTGTGGTCGCGATTGAACCTCAGCATTTGTTGGTCCACCGGGATGTTGGCCTTCAAGGTGATGGACCCAAACATAGCAGTGAGCGCTGCCGTGCCATCCATGCGGTCTGGGACAACGGATTCCTCCCAAAGATCGCTGATGAGGTCACCGTTGAGGTTCAACGGCTCCCCAAGCTCGTGCTGGATTGCCAGAAGTTGAAAAAGCGCGGAGTCGACACCCATCACCCGTCGGTTGCATTCATCTTCTGCAAGGTTCTCCAGCTCTGGATGTGGTTTCATCAAGCGGGAGAGAGGGTCGAAAAGAACGGCCTCAAGCTCGGGCGTTGGGATCAAGCCAAATGCTTCGAGGAACAAGGCCGGTTTTCGATGCATGTCGATGCCCTTCGAGCCAGAGATGCAATCATTGAAGGCTTCGACGGCGCGGTTCCCGTTGCGCCAGTCCGCCAGGATTTTCGCAACCGTGGGAAGTGCTGCGTCAAATATCGAAGAGAGGACAGGGTTCTTATGGCGAGGATAGTCAGGCTTCATGTAGAATGGGAGGCGAATCTGGCCAATCTGTTGAAGTGGTCAGTGCAACTTTGAACGCATGAAATATAAGACTTACCTGTTCCTCGGCCAGTTGAACTTCCCTGATTTCCTGCAGAAATTTGCGACTACGGAAGTTTGTCTGGAGCATGAGAACGGGCAACATCGAGTCACCCGAGATATACAAGGTCCCGTCGTTGCACGCTAGCCACCGGAATTCATATTCGTTGAATTGGTTCGGACGACGCCGGTGATGTTGAACGAATTGCACCGGGTACCATAGAACATCGGGAGACGCCCAATCCTTGTTCTGGCCGGACAGATCTGGCAGCATCACAATATCGCCGACTTCGCAACTATTCCACGAATTAGACATAGGACACGACATCTGCGCGAAGAGACTCACAATGTAGCCTCCTCTTCGACCCGACATCCCCTGCAAAGGAAACGGTTGTCGGGATCGTGCCAGTCTACCCCAGGATAGCAGCGGAAATGCGACCAATATCTGCACCTTTCGCATTGAACCTCGTCGGGGTCGTCATCACCTTCAGGCTCATTGACCCCGCAGATGCAGAAAACCGGGCACGGCGTGTTGGAGTCGGTTTCTGGGAAGCTGATATCTGCGGCTGCATTGCGAGGTGTGGGCACAGGGGTCTGCTCAGGCGTATAGAAGTTGTCCGATCCAGGCGACGAATTACGCGGGGAGGAGGTTATGGCGTCGATCAGCAGCTGGTTGACTTCAGCGTCAGCGTCGTCGGGAATATCGATAACCTCCTCAGGGAGGATGGGTATCATGGTGTAATCGGACTCGATCTCCTCGACTGTCCTCGTTGTCCTCTGCGGGGGAAAATCAGTGTCATTCTTCATGGAGTTGCACAACCACCAACCGAAGATTTAGACGTTCGCAGGTACAGCACAAACGACGTCTTAGCCTCGTAGTCCTCTAGGAGATGTACAGGACCAAGTTCTGTGACAAGGCCGCCCCGTCGACAGTCATCGTACATATAGGTGCTGTGCTTGAGTCGCATCTTGGTCAAATAA